AGAACAAAAAAACTTGTATTAGAACTGCTAGCAGCTGTCTGCCTTGTCCGCGGAGGACACGAAATCATTTTATCAGCGTTCGATAACTTCAAGGAGGTAAAAAAAATAAAAGAAAAACCAAAACAAAACCATCTCTTGCCGTTGCTGTGGGGAGGAGGCCCTCTGTCCGTGTTTGTTTTCTTTCTTCCCTGGTTGAGCTGGTTTTGATTTAGTCTCATCCCTCCCCATAAATAGACGCAGTGAAATTAAAGCTTTGTGATAGAAGTAATTGATAATTATTTATGGGTCTCAGATGCTGGTGCTCTGCGCTTTGAAGATTTCTTTGTTCTAAATATCATTCAGATGTTTGGAAGGGGGAGCTGGTTGCCGTTCAGTTCATGCAACATTTATCAGTTTTTAGGGAGAGAACAAGCCGAGTAAATGAGGCATAGCCAAGCGCTGGGATTCAAGACTTAAAGTGCACCTGTCTGCTGCATAATGTGAAGCCATTTTGGATTCAAGATTGGAATGTTATATGTCATATAGCGGTATATGATCTGTTTAGATTATTTATCAAACTGAGCCAAGCTAAAGTGCATAGAGCAGTAACAATGGCAGCCAATCATATTTTAGCTGTAGTCTGATCCATGAAAGATGAATTCTGATGCATTGAGTTTCTGCATTTTGCCTTGGTTAATGGAATAAGTCTCAAAGTGTAAATGAGGACTGGTCTAGGACAGAATAGGGTCAAGACTTAGGGAGGTGGATAAGTAGACAAAAGTCAAAATCCACAGGTAGGTGGTGAAAGGAGCAGTATCTCCATTTCTTACTTTGATACATATAATATAACCAACACATCATAGTGTCAAATACATTTTCCACGAATCAAGAAATCTTACGGTGTAAAATAATTAAAGCCTATCTCCCGGGGGGAGGGGGGGGGGGTCTTCTCCCCTTGCAGTGGGGCTGGCCCGGAACTGCAGGGGTTATATGCTCATTTAGGTCGAGGGTATTGGCTAAAGCAGTTTGACTTACCTGATCCCTGCACCCCTGGCAGTTGGCGTTCTCCTCATCTCCCCGAGACTCCGGCTTGTGGACTGTCCCTCAGCGCCCTCATATACAGTATAATGCAGCGCTATGGGCCCTGCATTGTACTTGATGACGTCAGCGAGCCTCTAACTGCCAGAATGTAGGGGGGAATAGGTGGCAAGTACCGGTTTTGTAGCCTGCAGAAGGGGGAATCAGGTAAGTAAAAATCCTTTCCCCAGGTACCCTAGACCTAAAAGAACATTTAAAAATTGCAGTGCAGTGCAATTCAGCTTTTAAACCCAACTTCACTCATAATGTTTTCTTTCTTTTGGATAGAGTGGGGCTAAAGGCTGGAGCCTATGTTCGGTTTTTATTGCCATGTGTGATCTTATTGGGGAGATTTTCCCCCACACCCAGGACAGGAAGTGATGGGAAACTCACTAATGGGGATGCAGACTGATGGGAAACTCACTAATGGGGATGCAGACATAAACACATATAGTGGAGTAAGGAAGGGTTAGAATGTCTGACAATGTTTTGATTGCTGTCCACGCCTTGATGTGTTGGTGACAACCACTCCTCATATTTCTTGCATGGGTCTTCTGAGGATAGAACGTGAAGGAAAATCTCCCCAATGGGGCGATGAACAGAAATAAAAAACCTGGAAGAAATGTCCTATTCTATCCAAACCTCCATCAATCACCTTTTGTCTTCCTATCATGTGCATCTCCTTATACATCTCTCAGGTTTTTAGTGGCAGAATGTCCCAGCTTGAGGTTGTGGCTTGTCATTTCTCTACCATAGTTATTACTCTTTTAGTATGATCACAGAGGATGGGGATTGGTGGGCCAAGATCACCACTGTGACTTATTGAAGACAAGTCAAGTCAAAGCCTCCCAAGAATTCTTTTAAGTGTTGCCATTGATATCAGCTTATGTAAAAACCGGTTGGGCTATAACACATAATGCAGGCAACACATGTAGAAAATATCACATTCAATATGAAGAAAAAGCACTTTCAGGATAAAACTCTATAAATACTTAGCAAGTATGATCCCCCAAAATAAGCCTTTATTTCTACCACATACTGCTGCATGACTTGACACAACTGTGTATTTTATTAATAAAAAATGGGATTTTCTTAAAATGCGTGATTTGCATTGTTCAGCAGCTAACAAGAGATAACAAGCTGAGATTTTTTTTTTTTTTTTTATCCTGAGGGAGCTTAGTTACAAAAATGTTGGCAACAAATGAAATAATCTTTACTGCTGAATGATGGAAACTAGTTAAAAGACTTTTTATACAGGTAACTCCTTTGAATGCATTCCAAGGGCCCAATATGAATCAAAACTATACAATTATACAAAGATTTATTACCCTAATGAAAATAAATTAAAAATGAAATTATATCAAATCAGAAAAACAGAAAAAAATTACACAAATAGCAAGTATCCAATATATAAAGATTAAATATAATTATAAAATTTTAAAAAATAAGCAGGGCCCTGTGATTGCTCAAAAGGTGTTATTTCTGTCCATTAATCTTCACATTCTGGGTGACTATTATATGCAAAAATCATGCTTTCAAAAGATAATGTATCCAAATGTTCCAGATATTATATATTCAAGGTTTCTAGAGATCCCATGAAACTGTCTGAAGGAAAACATTCCCCTTATATCTACCAAAGCAATTTTTGCAAAATGTCTGTTTAATATACTCTAGGTCCGTATGTATTATAAATTCCTGATTGCAACAAAAGGTACCGTATATTGCCTTCATGTATTACTTAAGCAACATGCACCAAATCCAGCAGGGAAATGTTTTATAGTAGTTGTGTTCCTCATAAGCTAAGTATCCAAAACAGCTACAGTATATATCGTAATTTCCAGCAAGAGATATGTTGCCTTTATATATTCAGTAAACAGCAGATGTTATAAATCAGCAAGAAGTATATCTCAGTGGCTGCTCTCCTCATAAACTATGGGGTTGAAATACGAAAAGCAAATAGATTGTTCACTTTGTTAGGAAAATTCACTTAGTGAATGAGGTTAAGCTCTTAAAGTATAATTAAACTTGTTTTTTTCATATATCTACTTCTTGTCCATGATATATTAAAATCTTGGCCATGATATGTCTTCAAATGAAGTTAAATGACATATATCACTAACAGTATCCTAATTTACATCAACGTCCCCAAGGGTAAATAGTTCACATGATGAGGTCCACAATATTTTTGCATGACCTTCTAAGCAAACCGGGTTTGAAACATGGTGAAACACATCAAGGCAAATTTGTTTTACTCACAGCCCTGCTCTGTCCAGGTGACCACAGGCTATATTCATGAGACCTCCATTATCTGAGGGTGGTAAAGCCACCAAAACACAAGGGAAGCTAATATTTGCTATTTCCAAGTATTAAATGTTAGACACATTTACAGTTGAGATGATTACATATATAAAGGTACCTTAATTTACATCAACCTTTCTAACGCTCAATATTTCACATAATAATGTACTGTTATGTGTCACTATTATGGTAGCCACACACAAATGTTCCTGTAATGTTACTCTCATTTCTTTGGGTGTACACTGTAGTTCTTGAAAACTTTGATTAGGTCCCTTTGCAAAAGTTATCGAAAGGATATTTGGTTTGTGCAAATATAGAAAACCAGGCTTTGTAGTCCACTGTCAAAACATAGAGGAGTATGATCTCCTTAAATATAAAGCAATTGGGCATTCATCAAAAGTATATATGCAGACAGTAGAGCTGTTGTTCATTCTTTAAAAGTGTATATGCAGACAATAGATAAGTAATCAACCGTGAATGTGTCCAACGTTGAATACTTGGAAACAGCAGATATTAGTTTTCTGGTGTTTAGGTGGTTTAGATAATGGGGTATTATGAATATATCCTGCGTGTCACTGCGACAGAGCAGGGCCCAGGCTGTGGATATGGTTTGTTCCTTTTGCTAGACAGCTTGGCCTGCAATGAAATGTTGCTAACATGTAAATAATGTCATCTGCATAAAAAAACAAAAAATATGTGATAGCCTAGTGATCACTATGGAAGTAAATGCATGTGATCAATGGATCACATCAGGAAATAGTGTTGGGCTATTTTTCATTTTAAGGCTCATGCAACTGAATATTTGCATCAGTCTCTTCGATGTTTTTAGTAAAATGTTTGTTTAGATTTTTGTTCTTTTTCGTTACTTATTTTAAATTATCTTACTAATAAAAACGTACCAAAATATATTTGCTTAATTTTATACCTGTTTTGAGAATTTCATATTTTTTAAACAGTACAAAAAAAAATACACAGAGAAATGCCACACAAGCGATTGTGTTTAGGTATTTCCTGTATTATGACATGAAAGTTCAAAAATGTAGATTTTTGATTTTGAATATCATCTCTTTTTGTGTGTTTTGCAATCTAATAAACCCAAATACTATCATAGATTTGTATAGACAATAAAAGGCTATTTTTTATTTAAATGCTGCAAAATAAATGTGTCACATAACTCAACTTCAGAAAAGAAAAACTATGTTTTTGTAACTGCTTTTCTTTTTTTAATGAAGAATACACAGATGACTTAAGACAAACAGGCAGAAAACAGACCTTCAACCGACTGTGTCATCTATATTTTAATTAGCATTATTTGCATGAAATAACTTGTATCTCCATGGCAACCACCCTAAAATACACAAGGGATTTATTGTTTTGCGGTTAGGAGTTGTCATAGTGTCATCCATGCTAAATATAGAGACTCTCCCTGGAAGGTGGCTTTGTGAGAATAAAGCATTCTTGCACTAGTGTCATTTTTTTTTCTTTTTGTTGCGTTTTTATGAATAGTGCAGATTGCTGTTGCTGGAGACAAGCTAATGGCTTTATTTTGTTATCAGTTACAATTCTATACTCCTATATTAGTTAATGAAGGCACTGATTTGTTTTATAATATGGTCAACTCCATCGTAAATCAAAATTGGCCCACTGTAACCACAAGGCAGAGACAGGCACATGATCCTTGCCAGATTATGCTCAATTTGGTCTGTTATCTCTTTTCTATGGGGACCTTTTGATTGTATTACTTTATACAATTTAAGAAACATAAGGGCAGCTCTTTCATTATCCAGTAGCTATACAGAGTACAGAATATAAAAAAACAAAAAGATAAATCAGTTTTAAAATGTATCGGAACTCACAAAATGAACATTTGATATGCTATAAAGCCGTGGTTCTGAAATGGTGGGTCACAACTCTATGTGCAGTGGGTCTCTGCGTGCCTTCCACTGCGCTACGTGAGAGGTTCCTCAGCCTCCTTGTAACGCAGCACTGTCGGTTCTCGCACAGAGCTTCCATTCAAATATGCTGCCCGGCATCCAGTGTCAGCTTGTAGTGGGCTGGGGGTATGGCCGTGAGGTAGCTCCACGCCTGGACCCGAAGTGACATCACTTTCTGGCTCCCGGCACCTCTATAGGGTGTGCAATTCATTTGAATTACACCATAAATGCACCTCCCGCCCACTGTAGCGCAATGCTGTGCGTTCCAGTGCGGTGCAGCTTGGGTTGTGACCTAATGACCAAGGACAATTGTGCGTCCTGAGGTTACACAGGTTGAGAGCCACTGCTATAGAGAATATCTGGAAATTAAAATTGTGCCCTGAAAATTCTGTCTGGAATTCCTCATAGCAGTGCATTTCCTGGTATGTTAATGTGCCTGGGCACTTCTGTACCTACAACCTCATAGCTGTGTATTTGCAGTGTGAGATCTAAGGCACTGCTGCCTCTGACTGCTAGTCTCAGGAGATTTGAAGTGAAATTTGGTAATGTCACTAATGTGCTGCTCACTGTTCTCCTTGCTGGAGGCTCTGACATGGGTCTGACTTGGGTCTAACCTTTTTCTTCAGACAATACACTTTAATTAAAAAAAAGCTAATTACACTTAATGTGAGACGTCTGTGTATTTTATTTGTGTCTTACTGGTCCCCCTGCTTCATTCCTAGGTGTGCGGCGAGAAGCAGAGATTTGAGAAGCTCATGGAACATTTCAGGAATGAAGACAACAATATTGATTTTATGGTAAGATTGTATTGGTCATTATCTTACTGTTACTAACTTTAAACTGAACTCCAGCAAATCAGCTAGATTTACAGTCAATCTACACTTATAGAAACTGTTTTGCCTGCCAATGAATTGGTAAGTTTGTGTGACCATTTTTTGTCAGATTTATACACCCTTGCCAGACAGCGTAGCCAGATCTGTGACCTTTACTGCAGCAGCGGCACAGCTTGGTCACAAGCACGACCCCAGCCTTTTGATTGGACAATCAAAAAGCATCAGCACACTTACAAATTATCAGTTCTGCTCAGTCTGTTCTATCTCCCATGTAAATATATGTTCACTGTCAGCACATGTGCAAAAGAGCCTCATTGGCTCCTAGTGCTGGGCTTTCTACTTCCAGTCTGACCAAGTAGCTTATATCAAAACTAGTTATGGTACCTTTAAAAATTCTAATAAATACATATAACTGCATTATTTATTTTTAATCTTTGGAGATCATCTCCCACCTCCAGCCATTCAGTAACCAATGCTAAAGCATGTGGTGCCCACTGAGCCTCTGGGATTTGACAGGTGAATGACGGGAGGCAAAGTTTGGCATCCTGAGGGAGCAGGGTTCAATTTCCATTTCTAGAGAAACAAGGGCCGTGTTTGGTCTACACTTAGGATCCAATAGGATCCACAAGGATATAGGCACAGGAACTAATTTGGACAGTAGCAGTAGGAATTTGGAGGCAACACATGTTGTCTGCACTTCAGCAGGCACCACAGACTGTCTGCACTTCAGCAGGCACCAAAAGTTGTCTGCACTTCAGCAGGCACCACAGGTTGTCTGCACTTCAGCAGGCACCACAGTTAGTCTGCACTACAGTAGGTACAAAAGGTGGTCTGTAATTCAGCAGGAACCAGAGGTCATCTGCACTTCAGCAGGTACCACAGTTTGATTGCACTTCAGCGGGTACCACAGGTTGTCTGCACTTCAGCAGGCACCAAAGGTTGTCTGCACTTCAGCAGGCACAACTGGTTGTCTGCACTTCAGCAGGCACCACAGGCTGTCTGCACTTCAGCAGGCACCACAGGTTGTCTGCACTTCAGCAGGCACCACAGGTTGTCTGCACTTCAGCAGGCACCATAGGTTGGCTGCACTTCAGCAGGCACCACAGGTTGTCTGCACTTCAGCAGGCACCACAGGTTGGCTGCACTTCAGCAGGCACCACAGGTTGCCTGCACTTCAACAGGCAACACATTTTGTCTGCATTTCAGCAGGCACCACAGGTAGTCTGCACTTCAGCAGGCACCACAGGTTGTCTACAATTCAGCACTTTGTAGGTCAGGTCAGGCTCCCTTTAATACAGCTGTCACAGGTTGTAAGCCAACAAATACAGTAAATAACTGAACTAAATACTGAAAAATAATAATTTCAATCTTCTAAAACTAGTGTATAATCTAGTGTATAATTTATTAGGCTTGTGGCGCCAACTTATGCGTCATGGCATACTATACATTCATATGTGGTAATGCAGCTGATAGAATGAATTATGCATTGATATTAATAGCAATTAATAATTCAAATGTACGCAATAGAGTTTCGCCATGAGCAAAAAGCTTTCCACTTACTTTTAAGTTATTAAGTATAGGCATTTAAAAAGTTTTCAGACAACTCTAAAGATTTTATTCTGATATAGGAAATAATGATGTCATATGAAAGGGTCAGCCCACCTACTGATCTGAATCACGTGCTGCCTTTCTATGTCCTTTAGGCACTTGCAACATGATCGCTGAGTTCCCAGCTCCACCCACCTAGCTCACTACAAGGGAATCTCTCTTTTCCTGTTGGATTTTTCATTTATTTTCCATTGTATAGAATTCTTTAGAAAGGATTGCTCCTTTTGCTGTAGTAGGAATGACACTCAGGGAGGCAGACCTGGAAAAAAGCACCCACAGGGATATGACAGCACTAGATTGCCTAAAAAGATATAAGAAGTTGGTGATGTTTGAACTCACCAGCTTCTACCTATTACTGTTTCATGTCGACTGACCTTTAAAGGACTATAAAACATAAGCTGTGCGTTGTCTTATGTTACTAATAATATATAACAAATTTCTGTCCTGGGGCATTGTAAAATGTCTATTGTTCCCAGTTAACAAATGTATAGATTGAAAGTCCTCAGGGGCAGGGCCCTCCTTACCATTTTGTCTTGAATTGTATTGTGACTGTAATGTCTTCCTTATATTGTAAAGCGCTGTGCAAACTATTGGCGCTATATAAATCCTGTATAATAATATAGAACCGGATGAAGTAACAGCAGAGGGTTATTTGAAATGCGGCAATACCCTTAGACTAAAGCAGGCCATGCACTATTAGATATTTTACATTCAGCCTGGGGTTGAAAGAAAATACACTTAATAGATTTCTCCACCCATGCTAAAAAGCCTACGTAGACAAACCTCCCACTGCGGCTATTGTATTCTGACTTGCTGTCAGAATACCCAAATGGGGACTGCAGCTGATTGGAGCAGTCTGTTCGGCCGAGGATTTTACAGTACACCTGGCTCCTTTCTGAGCTTGGTTGGGGGGCTATCGACAGGGCCACCCACAAGCGAATTTTGGCTGGTTCATCAAGAACCAACTGGAATTCGTTTAATTTATGGAGAGCTTAAGTAAGGAAGGTTGACCGTGTATGGCCCTTTTTTGTTGGGCTTTTGTTTGCATTAGGCAAGTTTTGCATTCCCATAAAAGTCTATTAAAATGGAAAATCTGTTTGAAGCAGCTCAAATGCAGATCAAAAGGAGGCCAACTGCAGGTCAAGTGAATTTGTCAATGCATTCTAAATGATCTTGGAAGCATTTTACACAGATTTGAAACTGATTCCATCAACCCAATCCCAACACTTGTCACTTGTTCATGCTTGTTGAGTTATACTATATGAACATAAGGCTTAAAGAGTTCCAGCCCAGCATAGGAAATTGGAGAAGAAGTGTCAATCAGTGATGTATGCAGGGGTGCTTACAGATACAAGATCATCTCCTTCAGGGTGGGACTAGGGGAGGGGGCCTCGAAACATGTTTATACATGCTCCAGAGACATTTCTATCCTGGGCCTGTATAAATAATATATGTTTAGATGGTAACCCTAAGTAGAGATACTCCCCAATCAGATCTGGATAACAGCAGGACCCACAGTCAGTGACAGCTGCTGGCCATTATAAAACCTTTATTCATTATTCCCATTCAGACCTGCTACCACAGCACCTAGTAGATGCAAGTCTTCCAGCAGCAACTTCCTTTGTGGCTTTGCGATGTCATGTAATCAAATGCCAAGAGTGACACAGGAATGTGAAGAGATGTGTAACAATAAACCGTGTCCTTTAGGAACAACCACCTTGCCGCCACAGCCCACCTTGCACACCACACGTTTGTGGCAGCTTGTGCTTGGTAAAAAACATCCAGCTTGTGGGAGCAAGGGCATAATAATAACCAGAATATAGCAGACCATGCAACTGCTATATGCACTGGAAGCACAAGGGTCCAAATTTATGTAGGTGGCAGTAGGATAGACAATAATCATCTATATAATGGTTACAGTTATGCAATACTTTATTACGATTACTCAAACTATGCAAACAATTAGCATTCTATTTGAGGAATTGCCTTTGAAATGAAAATTAGAGAGGAGGGTGGGTGCCTCAGTTGTTTTACTATTGGGTAATGTCACACATAGGGACAACCCTGGCTAAGAACTGTCTGGCTGCTCCTCCTTATTCTTCTCTCTACCTCTCTTTATTAAAAAAATGTGTAGTTCTTTTGTGTAAAAGTAACATTTTTTTGTTTACATTGATCCTTGTCAAAGTGATGAACCTGTAGTGGGTCTAAAATGTAAAAAGTGGCCTAATGACTTAGTCACACTGTCACTTCCTTGGAATTTAATTTTGCTCTCTTGAAGAGCTGGGCCTTCTGAAGAATCTTCTACATCTGACACACTTCCAGGTGTGTTTAACGCCTAGTCCCCCCTGAGTCTTGTGGTCTCATCTGCATGCTCCTCTGTCACAGTAGAGGACACAGTAGTGACATAGGGGACAGTGGCTGGAACCACTTTCAAGGGGCCAGAGGCAGAAGACTATCCTGATGTTCTTTGGACTTAAAACACCCCTGGCTGTTATATAGTTTATCCCAACCCCTGTCTCTGTCACTTTTGGGACAGCTTGGTCTGCATTTAAATGTGACAAAAATAGAAATAAATCAATTAAAATCAAAAACAGAAAAAATATACTGAATAATATAATTATGTGTATTACCACATACAATTATCATGATACAACACTTGTTTGTGATAGTGGCCCATTAATTGAGAAATAACTCCTTATTTTTTGGATTTCTTTTTTTTTTTAGGAATGCAATAGCATTACTTCAGTGAAGTGCATCACTGTCATACGATCAAGCACTCAATATATCCCAAACAGTTCAAATCCCAATTTTTTACGCCACTTAGCTCCCAGGCAATTTGTAATGAATTCACATTCATTAATCTCTTCGTTATAATTACTTAGAAACATGTCTACAATTCGCCCATTGCTTTAAAAATAACTCCTATGTGGCACAGAGTTTTTATAATAGTGGGCTCATTTGCTATTGAGGAATGTTAAAAATAGTAATGAGGATGAGAGCCGGTAATCGGGAACCGTGATGACAGGAGTTGGGGGAGGAAGGGCTATCAGGGGAGTGCTGTATACTTCACCAAACTTTCCTGCACATTCTGCAGAATCTCTAATTAGTTAACTCTTGCTTTGCTGTTGCAGGTGGCCTGTATGCAGTTCATTAATATCGTAGTCCATTCTGTAGAAGACATGAATTTCAGAGTCCATCTTCAGTATGAATTCACCAAATTAGCCTTGGATGAATATCTGGATGTAAGTATGTGCATTATGCTGTATGAAATTAATATTTATGTTATCTTAAATATTTATGTTTGATAGATAGATAGATAGATAGATAGATAGATAGATAGATAGATAGATAGATAGATAGAATTTCTACATATCCGATGCCAAAATGTAGTATATGCAGAAAAGTTAATGTCATGAACAGAATTTTCCTTACATACTGTGTCATTTGATTGTGACAGTGCCTGCCTTTTACCTTCTAATCTGGCTATGACTAATTGTCTTAGGGTATACTGTCTGGGTGATGAGAGGAAACAGTGATTATATTTAATTGTAACTGTAACTAAATATACTATTACAAAGTGTACTTCTCCTTTTTTAGAAATTATTTATTACTCTTTGAGGAGTCTTCCACCTATGGATAATTTGAAAGTAATTGTATGTGTAACCCCTCTCTGACTTTGTGGCCATGTAATTATCAGAGCTGCCTAAAACAAGGAGGGTCTAAGTTGAATACAAACAGAGGGCTATAATTGCAGTGTTTAGTGTGGGGTAGTGTAATCCTCTAGTGCCAGTTCAAGTGGCAGCCTTTGGGTGTCAGGAAACTGGTAATACCAACCTTTAGAATTATCATGCTATAAAAATACATATCTCTTTTGGAGAGCATCAGACTCTGGTCTGAATGAAATTGTATAATGCCTAGGGGTGCATATACTATGATGGCCATGGGTACCTTGTCGTTAATTAGTAAGCGAAAAAAAACTCTTGTTCGCTCGGGCCTAGTTGGCAATTAAAAAAATAGTTTTACATGAGCAGCTTAAAACACTAAAGGACCTCCATTAATATGTATTCATCAATGTGTGTAGTAAAGATTGTTCTGCACTGTGTCTGTGTGGAGGCGGCCATCTTGGTAGAGGCCTTGCTTGCTCTTCAGAGCCTCCAGCAAGGGGGAGTGAGCAGTATAGATTTGACATCACCAGTCTAACACCAAATTTCCTTAGACTAGCTAACAAAGGCAGCAGTACCTTAGATCTCGCCCTGTAGATATACAGCTATAAGGCACACTGCTATTTTTCAGGAGTAATTTCAGATAAAAGGTTTATTTTCTTGGGTACAGCTTAGGCACAACTCACATAGGAAATCCTTATTTTCTAAATTCAGGTTCACTTTAAAGTATGCCCCTTGCATTAATTCCCCTTTAGTTATATCTAATGTTATTATCCACTGAGGCCCTCTTGGCTTAAAGTGACCCTGCTCTTGAATAGGGCCCTCAAGACAGGGGAGCATGAGCTTGAACAAAACAATAATCTGAAGAGCTGACATAATCAGGATAGGGCATTGTCAGGTATAACACTGTAGCCCATATTATCTTTCTTTTTTGTCAGATTATCATTCTATGTACTTCATCGGCCTTTGTGAAATATATGTACTGATTATTCTACTCAGTCTTTTGCATCCTTTGACTTTCAGAAACTGAAGCATACGGAGAGTGACAAGCTTCAGGTCCAGATTCAGGCCTATCTAGATAATGTGTTTGATGTTGGTGCTCTACTGGAGGATGCGGAGACCAAGAACGCAGCACTGGAGAGAGTGGAAGAACTGGAAGAAAACATTTCTCATGTAAGAGAAGGACCAGAGCATTTTAGAAGGAAATATTGCTTGGACGGGAATTGGTGGTGGTGGTGGTGGTTGACAATGTTAATTAACCTTCCTGGCGGTAATCCCGAGTGTGGCTCCGGGTTAATTTTCAGTACCAAAAGCCGTAACACCGAGCCACACTCGGGATTACACTGTAGCGTCACTTACCTTGTCCCTACGACCCCCTCTGTGTCTTCCGGCCGATGTCGGCATCCGTCTTCCGGGTTCCTTCCCTGCGAGCGCTGGCATCGCAGGGGGGCAGAACCGGTGGGAAATTCAAAAGTGAGAAATAGATAAGAAAAAGAAAAAATACTGACCGCCTGGGAGGTTAAAAAAATAGTTTTATATCATATGCAGGTTATACAAATGTCCTTGTTGTTTTATTTGCACTAACACCACTTGCCCCAAATGAAGAGAATGTCATGCCTGTAAGACACTCCAAAGAGCACTCATACATACTTCAATACCAGTTTGGGCAGATCAGAGTGAATCTGACAGTATATTCTTGGAATGTGTGATAAAATTAGGACATATTAAAAATTTCCTTGCAGGGTCAGGGAGAAAAACCAATCTCATGCCAATAGCATTCAGCTCAGCTCAGGACCTCATTGATCTAAGTTAACCATTTAGATATTTGCTCCATTATAATGTGGAACCAAAGCATGGCTCGTTATGGTCTGATCCAACTATGGCCGTATCAGTAAAGATAAAGTTGATTGTACTAGCTGGAAATTTCTATATGAACGTTATCAAATTAGATTCATATACAGAGAATCCTGCTAGAAAACTTATGACTTTATTAAACAGAGCATAGAGACTGAAAGATAAAAATGTTTGAAAGTGATTATTTCTTTATATCTTTCTGTTTGTATTTTTTATGAATACCCTGAACTGCACTAGAAACATTGCAACTGGGACCTGTTTGTTGCATAATGGCTTAGTAGTTACATCACTGGTGTTTTGGGTTTATTTCCCACCATATACACTACCTGCCTAGGTTCTTTGTTTCAGTAACGTTCAGTATATAGGTGAACAGCGGGGTTCTTCTGTTGCAATGAGCAAGTTTTGGAATAAAAGTCATAAAAACACTACTAATGACCTCTAAAGCGGTCAGTTCTTGAACATACTTCCTCACAGAAGCCGTACTTGTTAAGACACTTTGGGATTCACTCATAAACACCCATTACTGGATCTTAGAAGTCTTACATGAGTTTTTATTGAATCCAAGAAACTCCACTGTTGCCTGGAGTGATGTGAATGGTTTATTGTGAAATTTGAAATGTGGAGACCATGTGAAATGTGGGACCATGTAAATGAATACAAATAAACCATGTTTCTTTATCTTTATTTCCAGCTTTCTGAAAAGCTCCTAGACACAGAAAATGAAGCGATGTCAAAAATTGTAGAACTGGAAAAACAGCTCATGCAAAGACATAAAGAACTGGAAATTGCTCTGGTACATTTCTCATTGTCTTGATATTACATGTTGAGAATGAGCTCACCTACCTGTACAAGGAACCTTGACTATGCAGTAGAGACTTTCACAATGAGCTGAAACCTAACCCGTTACTACTTTGTTAAATCCCCCATCTTCCCTGACCTGCTATTTGTTGTACAGTGGTGTGAGTGACTGGCACAATACAATGCCTCGCTATGTATCTGAGATACAATACATGAAGCCACTTTGCTGAAAGGAATATAGCAGACACAAAACCTGCTGACATTCCTGTTCTCTGTCTACTGTGTTATTTATTTCCTTTTTGTCACCGGGGTATCAGCTACACGATTATTCTGTTCTGTGTCCTGAATAACGTAATGTCTTGCTATGAAGTGTCATGTACTGCGTTGGCGCTCCCATCAATATTTATAGATAAGAACAATTAAGATTATGCTGGGGTGTGCTACAAGAAGCCAGGAAACTTGGTATTGTATAGTATTTTTGTTATTTTTTGGCAATTGTATAGATGGTGGCTGCTCTTTGGGGAGAAAGGCACCATTGCTGATACAAGTATGCACCAGTTGTACATTTGTTAGAAATGACAGCTCATAAAAATAGAGATCTATTGGGTTGGGGCCTCTCTTCTGGGTAGTAACTGTAAGAGTCCATGCCTTCCACAACCATATTTTAATGATTAGTGGAATGCCAAACTGATGTTGCTTACTTGGAGTCCAACCAATGGAATATTGTGAGGCGATGCTACAATACCAGATGCAGCCACTGCCATTTGTAACTTTAATTGCATCTCTTGGTTCCAGCACTCCAGAGGGCTCTGACACTTGAGCAAATGGTTTTACAGAATATTCTCTTTAGCAAAAGCCTGTAGGAAAATCTAAATGAGTAAACTTGTTAGGTAGACAACTGATTTCATAATATGCCAAGATCTACCCTTAAGTATCAGCCATCACACTGCAGCTCTTGTGAAGTGACTCTAATTCTGTGTAGTGAAAGAAAGGCATGCTTATCTCTTCACACCATGGTGCTTGGTGCCCAATCAACAGGCAACTCATTTGCATTCTGGGGAAGTGCTCATATTCATGCAAGTAGTGACTCGCAATTTGCTTTGAAAAGGATTGCCGGCAGATTGCAAAAGCAACTAGGGCGTAGTCTACCATGGCTTCAAATGACCAAATCTGTACAATTTATCATGTGCCAAACTTCTAGATTGTTTAGGAATAGAATTGTGATCAGTGTGTACATTAACCACCGTGGCTACTGTGTTGTGGAATTTTCTTCCAGCCTAAGTAATACTGAATGTCACTAAAGTCCATATGGTGGATTTTACCACTCAGAACCTGAGGCCAAGTAGTCAGCTGGGGGATTTTGAAGCCATGAACAAGTTTAAAAAAGACCACTAACCTCAATCCTAAACCCATGAAGCCCATTGCCAACCAAAACTTATTTTTGTTATCTTTGTTCCAACTGAGGAGATTTTATTTCCTGTTCCTGGGACACACCAGGAAGTGAGATGGGAAATGCCACATTTGGCACTTTTCACTGGAACAGGTATCCCCATTGGAAGATATGCCATCTATTCTGTGTTAGTGGCAGCGGTAAAAGTTTGGATTTTCCTTACCCTTTTCTCCATTAGACAGTGATCAGCATGACAAATAATAGGTAGATCTTCATGAAGGTGACACGGACAGTGACAAAGGTTGTAACCTTTCCACATTTTTTACAAAAAGATTTGGGCTGAAATTTTGCTTTAATTACTGGCTTGGGTTTTCTTGGACATCTTCTTCAATCCTGAGCTAATACCACCTACTACAGAGCTTTGCCATGATTATTTACTTGCATTATATATTTTTAATTTATGTCCCATAATGAGCAGAATAACTGTCTTACCTTATCTGTCTCCTGTTAAATGTAGGAAGTCTGTAAAGATGCAAATACACAAGTCAGCACGCTGCGTAAAATGGTCAAGGAGAAGGAGGAAGCCATTCAGAGACAATCCACTCTGGAAAGAAAGATCCATGAGTTGGAAAAACAGGGGACTCTTAAAATTCAGAAGAAAGGCGATGGAGATTTATCCATCATGTCGATGGTGACGGGGGGTGTGCCGTCAGGGGCAGAGGTGGTGCCTGGAGCATCAATATGTACTGGTATGCCACAGACTGGACATCCTGTGCCTGCTGGAGCACCCGCAAGTGTATCAGGAACTTCTGTATCTTCAGCAGCAACCCCTCCACCTCTACCTCCTTTGTCCTCAAACACTGGGGAAGGTAAGTGAACAAAGTAATATATTCGTAAGTAATATATTCGTAAGAGAAGTCTTCTAAATGGCCCACAACCAACTCTGAAAGCAGTGCAGATCTGGCTGTTTAGTTCTAATTAAACACTAATTAGACTGGCAAAAGTCACATTGTTAAAAAATCGCTCACTTAAGACTCCCATAGACATTGGTTCAGTGGTGGAATGTATGTTACAAAATATAAGCCATTAATTTTTCCCCCATCTCTTCAAGGGGCACAATTTTAAAAAGCAAAATCTACCTAAAAAACTATGAGTTAGTGTCTAACGTGTGGACTGTGATTCTCTGGTGCTAATGTTAGGAAAAGGCTAATAGCGGTGTCATGGTTGAATACTAATAAACACCCAGCAAGATGCCCAATGCTGAATCACGACATTATTCTACTCTTAAAGTAAACCTGCTGGCTGCTAATGCTGATGTCATTCTGCTATGGTGACCTTTTGGCTTTCAACAATTTTTGAAACAATGAACTGTAACAATGCACAAATCAGGAAAGTCTGAGAATAATCTGTTCGAGTTACTTTTACACGTGCTGTCTTCTGGACTGTCATTGTGAGTTCTGGACTGTAATGGTGAGTCATTAACCTGGAACAAGCACGTAGGACACAGTTCAGACTTTTCAGATTTCTCCATCAGCTTACTAAATAGTGGACTAAGAATCAAGAGGAGAGACAAAGATACTGAACCTTTAAAACCATGTTGGATCAGCTCCCATATTTCTGCAGGTTCACTTTAAAGTAAAACCTATCATGAAGTAGCTGTAATTTTTATGGAGCATTGGCTACCTGGCTACCGGGATTTGGCCAGCCCTGCGGTTACCCTGCATTACACAATTTCCTTCAGAAAAACAACCTTTCTAAGTATCACTGGGAATATTAAGGAAACAAAGACAATATGAAACATTTACTATTGGCAGTATGGAAGGTTACAGTGGTTTTTTTCCCCAGTATGCTGAAAAATCTCTGCATCTAAACATTTGATTATTCCCTAAAGGAGGGATATTTTCCCTGCAGGCTTACGGCATTGGAGATAATAAATCTGATGGGAAAGTAAGGTAACCCCTGTGGTATTTTGCCAGTTTATGAACAGCTTTTGGCCCAGGATGTCAAGGATGTCAACATTTAAAGCTTGTGAAGCACTAGCTTTGCTTTAAAGTTGCTAGTTTTGCTTTTCAATGGCATTCCGAGTCGTTTCTTAACACAGTTGGGAGAGTATTGAAGCTTCAGCTAACTGACATATCAAACATAGGAATCAGGTGCATAGCAGTACCCAGCACTCCTGTGTACAAGACAGAACTTAAATATGATTCTTGATTTCTGCATTATAAAATGTCTTTTTTTTTCACAGTGGAAACTGGTGCTACACCAGCAGCCATGCCACCTGCACCGCCTCCCCCACCTCCTCCTCCACCACCTCCTCCACCACCACCACCTCCTCTACCAACTGCAGAGTATCCAGTTCCTCCACCTCCTCCTCCTCCACCAGGAGCTCCTCCTTTTCCAGGAACCGCCTCACCCACAGTTATATTTAACTCAGGACTTGCAGGTAACAAAGTCAGGCATCCTAAAAAAATGCATTCGACTGAAATACAATATTGATCAATTAAAGGTTCACTTAACCATTTTTTACAAGGAAGGTTGCTGTTTTTTGGTACTTCTTAGTTTAGATTAGATGTGAGTAGATTTCTTTCTAAAGCAGAAACCCATATAAAGTGTAAAGATTTTTAAACCCATATAAAGTGTAACCATAATAGATTAGATAAATTAGATTGTGGCATAGAGATTCTGTTGATTTAAGTCTTTGGTGAAAGAAATTTGGAAATTTGGTGCTAATAAAATGAAAAATTCACTGTCTTCACAAGCACCCCTTTCCACCCCTGACACTTAACTTTGAACTATGTCTTAGACGGTACCTAACACTTAACCCTCCCTAAAATGTTGCTCTTAAAATTAATCAATTAACACATACCAGCCCGAGCCCCAACAGTTATAGCTGAACTCCAGGAAAACATTTTAAAAAAACCCATATCATACAGTTACGTAGTCACTCAATAAAAATCATGAAATGTATTTTTAAATGTAACTAATGTGAATACCTGAATCTGTCTTGGTGCCAGTTCCTCGTAATCCCCTGTACAGTGGCAGAGGGCAGGCAATCAAAGGGAGCCAATCAAATTTTCACATTGCACATGTGCTGACAATGGACATGCTGACTGAAGAGAGTAAGGTAGCAGAGGAATGAGCTCCTGCACCTTCATTGTCAAAGCACAGGCAGGGGGCAGGGAGGTGATCAAGCTTTATTTCTTATGCAATACTTATGAAAACTCCGGACCACCGCAGGATGAAGCATAAGTACTGAGACCAGAAATGACCTGCTACACGAGCACCTCAGGACGAGGCATAAGTAATGAGACCAAAAATTTCCTTTTTTTCTGATGACTAGAGAAACTTCCTGGATTTAATTTATCCGGTATGAATCTCTAAGTCTAGTTGGCTAGCAGGCGCAACTCCCAGGATTTAATTCTATTGGGTAGGAATCACTAGAAGCCCTTGTTCTCTCCGGAGGAACAAAGTAAACTAAAATAATGAAGCAGACGATAAGGATACATCCATTCTCCTGAGGACACCAAGCGAAGTGTGTGAGGTGGGAGGTGTTATGTCCTTAAAAGTGGCAGGCTTTTAATTTGTGATTGCCTAGTGTCCATTTCTCCTATAGGCAGCAGCATAACCCTACATATCAGATTATTCAGAGCTGTGTCCCTCGATGGATAATAGAGAAAATCAGGTTACCATCCTGGTTCTGCTGTCTTGAAGAGCTGAGTTATTCTCAGGACTAGATGTGTAGACATATAGAGCCATATAAATGCTTTGTCTACAGCCCCCATATGGCTACTTTAAATATTGATTGCTTGGAATTCAGCTTCAACCTAATCCTGCCTCATCAGGCACTATAATCCAATCCATGCAGTTCTGCACAGAACTCTGCAATGCTAGACTACCTGCTACAACAGAAGTTGCTTTGAAGAGTTTAAATGATATAAACTAATGGTGACCATAAAAAAAATGAAAGGATTTCAAGCAACACTTGTGATAATTGGACCATTTAAGAGACGCTTGTTATTGTACAGGGAGATTTTGCTGCTCGTTAGAAATTCTATCTTTGGGAACCTTCATCCTTCACTGTAGAACAGTGAAGGAGAAATGTAGCGTGCTGTCACTTCAAGTAATGAATTGCAGCGGGTTCCGGGCTTCTTGGCCCCTCTCAAGGAAATATCTGTTTTGTAGTGTGCCTGCTGATGTTTTTTACCTGAAAGTCTAATGGAGAGCTAAAGCATGTTTATTCCTGTTGCCGGTACTATTAATATTGACTAATGTACGAGCAGCACACATCTTCCTATGTGCATTAGTGAACATCATTTTTGTTCCATGTAGTGAGGTTTATATGGGGGCTGATCAGTTTAGCTCTGAGCCTCACAGGAAATATACGATTGTGAGTCAGCTCATTTATATCATCAAGGGATACGAGAGGACGTTATATCCTTGTACCAACGCAGCTTACTTTGATGAAAGTAGACAGAAAAATGCTTTCGAGTGTTTACCAGTTGTACAGAAATGTGGGAAGCAAAAATGCCCCTATTCATTTTTATAATGTAAAGCTGAACTCCAGACAACTTTAAAAACCACAATTAATGCAGTTATATGTTCATAAGAAAATAATTTAAATGCAAATATTGTGAGTATGTGAAGCTGTCTTCATTCTGGTCTCCTGTAGTCTCCTAAACAGAAGGAGAGACAACACTTTAAGCCAATCAGGCTCTGCAGCAATGCACAAGGAGTATGCTGAGAGGAGGAGAGAAGGATTACCTCTTCTGTGTGTTTCTTCTCCCTTATTGTCCAGTCAGTAAGCTGGGGGTGTGCCTGGGTCCTGCTGTTTTGTTCTAGCGGTAGTGGAGGTCATAGACCAGACTATGTTGTCTGACAGCTGTGTCTGAATCACAAGACTGGTTACACAGACTTACATTGGTAGTATACAATTGGTGAGTTGTATAATGCTTGAAGAAGGGAAATAAGAAAGGTCACAAAAGCTTGCATCTTTATTGTTAGAATACACATTATTGTATCTATAGCAATAACTTCTGCAGTATACCATTTCGGTCACTAGATGGCAGTGTGTATAGGTACTGTTATATATCTATGGTAGATTCTCTGTTGTATTGAATGAGGTAGAAAATAAAAGCTGTAGCTTCCTTCTTGTTTTAGCCAAGCCATGTGCAGCATGCATATCAGACTGTGTGCTTGTGTTTCTCTGTGAGGCTGTGCAAGAAGTTCCAACATTTATAAACTTAAGTTGGACAATAAAAGGTATCACTTAAACTACAAACTTTCTGCTTTGATTGATGGCTAAAAAAATAGGGTCCCAGGCAGATGAATAGATCACTTGATCAACACAATTGCATGCAAAGTTGGCATTTTGATATGTAAGCTCCATTGCTTTGGATGTTTAACCTTTGCTTGGAGTTTTTCTTTCAATATCAAATCTAGGCAGATAAAATTGCACAAATTATTGCAGCTTCATATTCATTAATAGATCATAAAATGTAAAATAACATCATAAAATCAAGCAGTGTAAATGTGTAAATTTGGTTTGGTATCTGCTTCTTCCAAGTCAACTGTACATCTGAGCTCAGACTGGGGGGAGGAAAAACAGCACAAGGAGCCAGTCAGGTATGCTGTAGAACAGGGGGCATGCTCATAGTGGGAGAGAGTGACAATTGGATGAGTTCAATAGTCAGCTGCTTTATCTTTCACTGTCCATTCACGGGGTGGGAACCTTTAAGTGGAAGTGAAACTTCAACAGAGAAAGGTCAGGTCCCCTTCCCTGACAGACAGAGCAGTGTACTTACCAGGACTGGATGGAAATAAATATCCATTTGGCAGGTAAAACAGCTCTCCTATATGTATTTCATCTGTTAACTTAGCAGTTTGCCTGGAGTTCATCTTTAAGCCTAATGAAGCTGAAACTACATGTATTCCTACATAAGGAGGGTTGTGCGATATACACTGTCCAGTGATGTAGATATTAGACTCAATTTACAAAGCTTTAACACAAGGATATGACTCTCCAGTATAGCCATGTGACTGTAATTTTCAAATCTCATTGGACGCAGCTGAAAATATATGTCACTTTAAAAAAAAAATAAGTATCCTTAATCTGATGTGTTAGCTTTGTGAACTGAGCCTATTGTATGGAGAAGCACTTAAAGGAGAACTATGGGGTTAAGGCTGTGATCTGTAATCTTCTTAATGTTTTTTTTTAGATATACTATACAAGAGATCACCTTGATGTAAATAATATTATCAGTGTTTGTTAATGTATTTGTTTTTGTTTGTACCTGAGGGCATACATATTTGCTCATTACATTACATATGCAGACTTTGCTTCCTGCTTAGTAGCATTCACTTTTGCACGTACTCGCACCCATGTGTTTGTATGTGCATGTACTTTTTTTTTAAACATATATGCTTATTACATATGCAGTCTGCGTCTTTGTTTTTTATCTCTGATACCATTATTTCATTGTAGTTGAATCAACTGTGGTCTCTAATGACATGAAAAGATGCACAGTGCTCCTGGTAGACAGAGACCATGTGAGGTTTTGCCTAATTTTTAGATCACATTCCTATTCATGCCAAAGCACAACAGAGCTTTCCTAAAACCGAAGGTGTTTAGATATCATGACTTTCATCACAAATATAAATGCACAACTTTACTCACTATCAATCTATGAGGATAACACCCCTTTTTATATTTAAATCTGTGATGTAAATAGCAGAAGCATGTGTTTAAATTAGGTTTTGCTGTACCTTATGGTGGTTTAGTGAAGGTTTTTTTGTTGTTAATTTGTTGTAAAATTTGTCTTAATTTGTCAGTTCTAATCAATTATCTTATAACGTTATCTTGAATTCACTTGAGTTTCCTGAGACTTTTGTGTTTTTCACCTGTTACTGTATATGCTAAAATGTGTAACGTTAATTTCTCCTCTTGCTTTTGTGCTTCCTCTTAAGATGGACCAATCAAGCTGTTCTGTAGGTTTTTCCATCGTTCTTTTAGAAACTGTGTTCATTGCCTTGATGTTTGTTTTTAAACATGTTCCTATATGTATATACATGACAACATTCCCCTGTGCACACCTAGGCGACACCTCACCGCGCGGTCAGGAGTCGCCAAGGTGTGAATCGAACGAGCTGTGGGTGCCATTATTTTATAATGGCACCCCAGTTGTGCCGCCCGGATTGCGCGGTTTCCCACCGCAATTCCGCCCGTGCTTCCAAACATGATTGCGGCTAAAACAGTCACGCGTCGTGTATCGCAAAAAAAAGGTACTTTTACCTTTTTTCTGCGATTGCCACACGGATGCCACCCCATTGAGGGCCAGTGCACACCAAGGCGACACCTCACCGCGTGGCAATCGTGCACGATTCCACCCGGATCGCCGCACGGTCAGGAGTTGCCTTGGTGTGCATCCGATCACGCTGTGAGTGCCAATATTTGCTAATCATGCGGTTTCCTGCCGTAATTCCGCCCGTGCTTCCGAACACGATTGCGGCTAAAACAACCGCGCATCGTGCATCGCAAAAGGAAGGTACATGTACCTTTTTTCTGCGATTGCAGCGCGGATGTCACCCCATTGAAATCAATGGGGCCACGCGGCAATCGCTGCCTGCATTGTGCTGGATTGTGCGATCCCGGGACACGCGATCCCGGATCGCGTAGGTCTGGAAGGGGGCCTGAAGTCAATGGGGCCGCGCGGCCTGCATTGTGCAGGATTGCGCGATCCCAGATCGTGGAGGTCTGCACCGGGCCCAGGGACAGTTTTAACCCTTCCCCAAGATGCCCATATAACAACCAAATCTGGTTTGGTCTAAAACCAAGTTTGGTCTAAAACCTGGCTGTTCAGCTAAAAAATAAAATACAGGACAGTCACAGCACATCAGGGACTGTTGGCAAGTATATAAAAAAAAGCTGTTGTCTGTTTATAAAAGGTATAAATTACATTGTGGATCATTTTTTTTTTACCCTTACGGAAATCTTTTATCTTTTTAATACACTGGCAAAGTCACTGTCACTTTTTTCTTTGTGATCCATGGTGGAACAAACTAATTTGCATGTTGATTGTATCATCTGTGCATGTTCAGTGTTTGTATAGTTTATGTTTTCTTTTGAAGATTAAATTATATCCTGTCTACTACTTTTCTTGATCAGCTGTGAAAATTAAGAAGCCCATCAAGACTAAGTTCAGGATGCCAGTATTCAACTGGGTTGCTCTAAAACCCAACCAGATCAATGGCACAGTCTTCAATGAAATCGACGATGAAAGGATACTGGAGGTATGAACGGCAGATGTGTGTGAAATGAAAATGATTGTACTAAATCACCTCTGAATAAATGGGTATTATCGCGAGCCAAGCCTTCCTTAAAGTGACACTAAACTCAGGAGTTAAATCTTAAGAATACATCCAAGTACCCTTAACAATCAACTAAAATGTATCTTATTTGTGTATCACTCAGCTGTAGATCCTCAAATCATCTCTGAATTGGTGCCGACACTGTCCTGCCTTCTGGAGGGGGGCTACTTTTGTTTCCCATGGTCCCCGTGTGCGTTGTAAAGTAGTCACCACTCCAAACTCACTCTCGTGATGGACTACAATCTCAATACAAATTAGCAAACCAAATGTGAGATTGTAGTCCATGACAGGAGTGAGCTTGCAGTGGTGACTACTTTACAACACACAGGCACCATGGGGAAGACAAGTAGCCACCCTCCAGAAGGAAGGACAGTGTCAGCACAAATTCAGAGATGATTTGAGGATCTACAGACGAGTGATGTACAAATAAGATACATTTTTGTTAATAGTTAAGGTACTTGAATGCATTTCTAAGATTTAACTCCTGACTTCAGTGTCACTTTAAAGTGAAATGATACATTAGTGGCACCACTACAAACTTAGTCCAACAATTAAAACAGTGACATCACTGTGCACCTGGCCTATCAATATCCTCTGTACGTCATGTGACATCAATGTGAGTTTTAGTTCAATTTAATTTACACTGTGGCCATTCTCCAGCCTCCTCAAGCTTCTTGAGAGTATGTAAAGCTGCTTCCACATATTTATGCCTCATTTACACTGGGAGTTCTGGCATTCATGCGGTAGGAACCTACAGATTCCTGCCGCAGGAATGGCAAGTGTCCCCATTCAGATGAAGCGGCAGTACCCATTTAATTCAATGACAGGGTGACGCCGGCCGCATCTGTAAATTGTAGTCCGCAAGTAATTGTATACAATATAATTACATGCAGATTGCAACAGATCACTGTCCCTGGACAACAATGATCTATTCCGCATGTAATCTTTTATGGTAGAAGTACATGCAGACTGTCACTTACAGATGCAACTGCTGTCACCTTGTCATTTACTTGAATGGTACAGCGGGCACATCTAAACAGGACACCTGGGATTCCTGACGCAGGGCTCCATAGGTTTCTGCTGCAGCAAACCAAATTACCCAGTGTGAATGGGGCCTTAAGCCAATTCATAGTTAATAGAGTTCACACAGACAAGAAGTATACAGTATCAATATGTATGTTTTGGAGGGGATATATGCATATCTACTCTTGTTGACCCAAGACTGGAGATAACAGTACAAATCGTTTCAAACTGCATAATCTAAGTTCTGTTTTATAACAGCCCAGTAATTGCAATGTAACTCTCGTTTCTTTATCAAGGATTTAAATGTTGATGAATTTGAGGAAATTTTCAAGACGAAAGCCCAGGGCCCGTCCATTGACATCAGCTCCAGCAAGCAGAAAGTAGCACCTAAATGCTCTAACAAAGTGACGTTGCTAGAGGCCAACAGAGCCAAGAACCTGGCCATCACCTTGAGGAAAGCGGGCAAGACAGCAGAGGAAATCTGCCGAGCCATTCAGCAGTAAGTCTTGTAGTTCTGGGAATGCAAATACTGCAGATTAGGAGATTAGTGCAGATCTTTTTATGCAATTGACTCAGCATGGTGTTTTTTTTTCATGTTCTGATAACCTGTCTCCTGACAAGCTGAGCCTATGAGCTTTATTTGTGTAAAGGTGCACCGGACATTGCCATTTCCAGCATCGGACTGACTAGAGACAAACTCCATGTTAGATGTGTAATGTAATGTGCATGTGTAAAAAGATTTTTAAATTACATTTATGAATAATTATATAAACATTTTAGGAATTTACAAATACTCATTGAAGAGACCCTGTCATTAGACAATTATTTCAACAAACATCTTCCCAAAAGATTATATGTGCATTTAACATATTAATGTTAATAATGTTCACGTATTAATGTTAATTACCTGTAAAAACCTACCTTGTGTAAACATTAAAAAGCCCTGAGACTGCTGCTAGGTGCTGCTATCATGGGTGTGATGTCAACAGCTCCAGCAGCCTGAGAGCTGTCTCTCAAGTGACCCTCTGGTGCAGCGGTTGCCAACCTGGGCTACGTGTAACACCAGAGGTACGTGTGTTAGAGTTACATGAAAATAAATAATGGTGGAAAAGGGCAGTGGCACAGCCGACTAACAGTTTGTAAACATAGCTGGAGAATGACTGCCTGGTTACTGGCTCCATGAAGTGACAGGGAGGTATAAGCCCTACATGAGTATGAGACTGAGTCCAGTTGGAGGCTGAGATCTGGACATGTGTGCAGAAATGTTTAATTCCCAGTAAGATTTATGTTATATTGCTATTTTAGCTGCAAATAGTGCTCACTCGAGTTCTTTGGATTTTCGAATCATACATTTTGGCTAGATTCAAACCCTTGTAGTGCATTACTGCATGTGCATTAGCATGCGTTGGGTTAGGACAATGCATTCATTTTGAATGGGCTTCCAAAGTACCATACTGGACCTTTTTTGAAGGGCACCATAATACATTGAGTGTTTACATCTGTGCATTGTAGTGCGCTAAAATGCAAGTCTGTTGTAGGGCAATTAAGAATTGTGTTGGGGTAACATTAAAAATGAATAAAAATGAACACCCCAGTGTGAATGTTACCACGTAGCACATTCTACCTCCAGCCCTAAACTTATTTTGGTGACAGATCACAATGTATTTCTGCCGCAGCTTCAGATACATTGTTTAGACAGTACTTAAAGGGCATGTATGGTAAATTGCACAAACAAGGTCCCCTACTGTTACCTTTAGGAAACAGTAAGACAGTATGTAGACAGTAAGTGGCAGCAAAGGGGTTGCAGGAAATTGGCAGTGTCAATATGCAACTAAGGATGAAAAAAGTTAAAACAGTATTTGATTTTAAAAAACACACAACGGTTGTTTGATGTGGATTTTTGTTATTCAGCGTTTACATTTTTACAGAACACATTCTGACTTCACCCATGGCAATGTAGTAGCAAATATGCATTAGTCCCAACATTATCAAATCAGAAATCAGTGTCTGTGTGGTCTTTCCCATGGATATCAGCAGAAGATTCTGCATCCTACTGATAAATTTCCATTCAAGGTCCTTCTAGACGCTGCATCTCTTCTGCAGATATCTTTACCAATATGTGCTGCTTGGCATCTGGGCTCTTATGGGCTCTTATTGATTCACAACAACATTGAACAATGGATTGCCTTTTTTGTCTCTCTGACAGAGTTGGGAGCATAATGGAAATTTTTAAAGCTTCCACTTAATGAATCAGTTATACGTCTTTCATAAATATGATCTTATTTCCATTATTGTAAATGTTGCCCTTCCAACCAGTAGTCTGAGAACACCCATTTTGTCAATACAAATTCTGATTATTATTATATATTTGTTATTTAAATAGCGCAAATCTTATTGTGCAGGGTTTTTAGCTTCAGTAAATATAGATAGAAGAATAAAAAATAACTCAACAGACAAAAAACAAATGGTTAGTGTCTTTCTCTCTCTCTCTCTGTATACAGTCTAAAGGATTATCAATTTCAGGAATGTAAGATGGTAAGACAAGGAGCTAATTTTATTTTTAACTTAAAGTGACACTAAACTCAAGGGATAAATGTGAAAATTAGAAAATGTGTTCAAGTACCCTAACTAAAAAGAAAAATGTATCTTATTTGTGTATCACTCGGCTGTAGATCCTCAAATCATCTCTGAATTGGTGCCGACACTGTCCTTCCTTCTGGAGGGCGGCTACTTTTGTTCCCCATGGTCCCTGTGTGTGTTGTAAAGTAGTCACCACTGCAAGCTCACTCACGTGATGGATTACATTCTCATGTTTAGTTTTCTAATTTGTATTGAGATTGTAGTAGGGAGTGAGCTTGGAGCAGTGGCTACTTTACAACACACACAGGGAACATGGGGAACAAAAGTAGCCACCCTCCAGAAGAAAGGACAGTGCCAGCACCAATTCAGAGATGATTTGAGGATTTACAGCCGAGTGATACACAAATAAGATACATTTTTGTTAATAGTTTGGTACTTTAATCCATTTCTAAGATTTAATGTCGGAATTTAGTGTCACTTTAAATTTTACTAAAAGGTGCAAGCTTCACTTTCTTTCTGCCGACCCAGTAGGGCACCCTGCATCATTTCCTTCATATGCAGGGTACCCTCTTGGATCACGTGTTATGTGCTTCTTGGTAGGGGGCAAGAGGGTTATCATCAGTGACTTTGCTGATAATTCTCTTTCTCAGCAGACATAGTGAAGCAGTCCTGTATGTCTGCTGAGGGTGGCATACTGCAGTGAATTCACTGCAACCCTTCAGCTTTGTCACCCACCTCAAGGAAGACTGGAAGGTTGGTTGCATCACCAGTTATTTTTGCAAAGAAACAAGAGTTGCTGAATGCAATTTTGCACTTATAAGTATTTTATTTCTACGGAAAAAAATGGGAAATTATAACATTTTGAGTATAGTTTTACATTAATATTTTGACATAATCACTGACTGTATCTTTTTTTACATTACTATTTTTTTGACTCCACACTTAGGTTTGACCTGAAAACACTTCCCGTGGATTTTGTAGAATGTTTGATGAGGTTCATGCCCACAGAGGCTGAGGTGAAGATGTTACGGACTTATGAGCGGGAGAAAAAGCCTTTGGAGAACGTGTCGAATGAGGATCGCTTTATGATGCAGTTTAGCAAGATAGAGCGGCTGATGCAGAAGATGACCATCATGGCGTTCATTGGAAATTTCTCAGAAAGCATCCAGATGTTAACACCGGTATAATTAATGGGCCGGGGTTCTTCCAACCTTGAATCACTGAAGTGCTGATTATACTTCGTAGCATATCATATATAATTAGGCCATACAGTCACTGCTCTCTATTGCTTTGGAACAGTGTTCATGCATTCACAATTCAGTTATGTCAACACAGATTTCACAGTTTGCATCTATAAATAATATTTTTGACTGAATTGCCAACACAATGCTATTTTGTTTTTATTCTAGCAACTTCATGCAATAATAGCTGCCTCGGTCTCCATTAAGTCTTCTCAGAAGCTAAAGAAAATACTTGAGGTGTGTGAGGACACATATCACTAGTAACATTGGACTGTAAAATGAGCAGAAATTTGACAAATTGTTTCCTTTTTATGTAGATTATATTGGCTCTTGGGAATTACATGAACAGCGGTAAACGTGGAGCCGTGTATGGGTTCAAACTTCAAAGCTTAGACTTGGTAAGTAGTTGATGAAATATTAGCATAGGTGTAACTGCAGGTATGGCAAAGAGTATAGGTGCTCCTAGGCCCCTAAAGAGGACCTAAAATTGTGCCTATAAATAGGCAGGCAGAGGCAAAAGGGGCTGCCACCAGTAACTGTGGTCTCCCTGCAGCTGATCTTTCCCCCATTACTGATTTACCATGTCATGTTGTACACTGTGTGTAGAGGTGGCCATCTTGGTAAAGGCAGGTCTTTGCCTCCTCATGTCAGAGCTGCTCTCTAATGACTGGTGATCTAATGACTGATAAGGGAATTATCAAGCAGCAGCAGGGGGTGCGGAAAGCACAGATCCCAGAATTAACTAATCAGAAGCAGGGAGATTCTTGCACTGCAAGTCCTCTGGTAGAGCGTCCTCCCCAGCAAGGAGAACCGTAAGCAGTGCAGTGACATTAACAAATCTCACTACAAATCTCATGAAATTAGCTTTTAGAAGCACAGTGTGTTAGATCTCACACTGCACTACAAGGGTCAGGGCAGGGAAGTGCACTGCTATATCTCAAGAGGTATTCAAGACAAAAAGGTAAGTTTTTCATGGTGCAGTTTAGGCAGAATTTATATTTCCAGATGTAGCTGATAACATAGCAAGTCTTCAATTTCTGAGTTCACACAAGTCCTGTAAACATAAGTGCTTCTTCCATTTATTTAGCAGCTATACACAATGAGACCCTGCTCATAGTTGTTTAGGATCTTGTTAATGTAATTTTAACATTTATTTTTAATCTTTTTAAATATTCAGCTTTCATAAAAGAATACTTGTTGATCGTGTTGTTGTTGATCCTAATCAGGCACTTCTTGTTGTGTGGTGAAACCCCTTAGCCCCTGTCTCCAGGGTGGGCTCCTGCGATGTCATCCTGTCACATGCATCCATGAAGGGAGCAACAAAAATTCCTGGCACACACAGGAATGATCCACAGTTTTTAATATCAGGAAGCAAATCCAGAGCAAAAATGTCAATCAATCAAATTTACATCTACTTGAAAGCAGAACTTTCGGGCAAACCAAATCTTAACCCTTGGGAGGGAGCTAAAATAACAAATGTATTACTCTCCTGAACCGCAATCCCAGCTTGCCCTTTCACCGCTCCCTCCAGCTTATCTCCTTCTCTACTCCAGTCATGGTATGTCCCTTGACGTCCAATACAGTGTATTGTATGTGCTGGGGGAGCGGGGCTGAAAGGAGCGGTCTAAGAGCAAGCTGGCAGTGTGGTTCGGGTGATTATAACTTTGTTAGCTCTCTAGACAAAACGAGCACTTAACTCTTGCAGTGCGGGGGTAGCTCCACTGCAGAGGTTAAGATTTTATTTGCCCGGGGTCGTGCTTTAAAATATTTGTGTTTTAAGTTTTTTAGATGCATTGTAACCATATCTGTGTTATTATATGCAGCTTCTGGACACCAAGTCAACGGACAGAAAACAGACATTGTTGCACTATATATCCAATGTTGTACGGGACAAGTACTCGCTGGTCGCCCTGTTCTACAATGAGATCCACTATGTGGAGAAAGCTGCCGCAGGTACGATCATTATGGGATTATTGTCCTCAGCTGGTTCTCAATAACGCTAAGATGGCCATAAATGGTAATGATGATCATTACAGAACAATTGGGTGCTTCAATGTGTGTTATAAATAAGTTATTATACTCAAACATGTGTCATTTATTACCTTATGTGCACTCTTTTGCTCGACATTTCATCTCAGTAAGTTTAAAATTGGACAGCACAGGGTTGTTCATACTACTGGGAAAGGGGCATCTTACACTTTTGTTGCTTTTTAGCTTTTTTTTTTTCTTTTGTTAAAGGGGAATTTTATTGGTCTTAGGATAATTTTGTAGTTTTGTTTTTGAAGTTTTATATTGTTTTATATTTCTCTACATTATATGAGATCTTTGTTTTACAAACATCTACACTGTGCACCCAAAACAAGATTCACTGTGGGTTTCCTAAATATAGAGCACTGCAGAAGTAGTTGACCTTAAAGCTGGCTATACACCTATAGGATCTCTGCAGATTTTCTATGGTCAGATAGAAAAAGTGCAACACATTCCTCCATCTAAACTGTGTGGATGGAGGAATCTCCAACTGGGCCAAGCTTCAGTATCTCGCTAGTTGGCCCCGCTGGCTCTCAAAATACCTGAACAGTGCCTGGATCCAATCAGATTGTTCAGGTATTTTGAGAGCCAGCGGGGCCGACTAACAAGATACTGAAGCTTGGCCCAGGGGGAGATTCCTCCATCCACACAGTTTAGCGTAGATGGAGGAATCTGCTGCACTTTTTCCATCTGACCATAGAAAATCTGCAGATAATCTATAGGTGTGTGGCCAGCTTTAGGCTATCTCTTTTGAAACTTTGAATTATGTCCTCTGTATACAGCGAGCATGGGGGGGGGGTCATTGCTCTGATTCATTCTCTTGTGTGAGTGTAATTTTCAGCTTGAGCTATTGAAATCTGTAAACAAAAGGAATTCAGCAAAACCAGTAAGTGATAGATGGGTAAAAATGTAAAGGAAAAGTATAAAGTATTCGCCTGACCAAATATATATGTGTATATATACCTATACCTATATATTATGGATGCACCGATACCAGCATCGGTATCGGCCGCGATACCGAGTATTTGCATAAGTACTCGTACTCGTGCAAATACTCCAATACATAAAACGAGTACCTGTGCCGCGTCCGCTATCTTCAGGGACCCGAATCCGCCGCACAAAGGACCTCCGTCGCGTCTTCAATGAAGCAAGATGGCCTCGACCTCCTCTGTCATGTGCTCCATTCTGACCTCTTCTCCCGCTGATTGGCCGATCGGATGATTGACAGGCTTCCTCACCAGTCAGGAGTGACT